TGGAGTGGTAAGGAAAGAGGAGTGAGGAGGCTGCAGGGGCTATAGGGATGATGGCTTGCAGATGACTTCTAAGATTGTCCTCCTAGATGGGAGGGGATCCAGAGTGTTAGAGGGGCCCTCTTGGTGCTCAGGGGAGGGCCTTTGGGATGGACAGTGGTGAAGAAATGAGCTCTCTTTTAAGGCAATGGATAAGATGCAGAAAGGGATGAAGGTTAAGCTGCGTTGGAAGAGCTAGAAGCTTTCTAAGAACTGGAAGATGGGGCACCAGGTGGGGTGGGCATGTTAGAGAACCATCTGAGCCAGTGCCTGGAGGTGGGCGCACAGGGGGGAGGTGCGTGAGCAGCAGGAGGTTAGTCTGTGTGACATTTAGGCCCAAAGACGCTCAGTAGCCATGCTGAGCGGGCTGAGTGGGATGGGAGGGGCAGCGATGCTCTGCTCCCCAGCCCCTGGGCTTCCCCAGTCCTTGCTCTGAGAAGTCACTACATCGAGGATGTTGACTTACTCACAGGATGGGGCCACCTTTGAAATACCTGGCGATGGGTCTTGAAAGGCAAACAGGAGAAGTGCTAGGAAACCATCTGGACCCAGAGCAGGACACTTAGGCCAGGGTCTCTTGGGCTTATTCTATGATGTTAGGCAGGTATTTCTTCTTTTCTGGGCCTCATTTTTCCTGTCATCTCTGTGCCTCCCCAACAGATCCAGTTTGGATGACTTTTCAGAAAAGTGTGGCTGGGGCCGAGAGCAGTTCCCATGCAAGTTTCCCCCATTCTTGGCTGTGGGCAGAGAACCCCTTCTTTGACACCAGCCCTAGTGCAGCCCATTTGAGGCCCACTTCCCATCTCCCATTGGTGTTTGATTGGAGTGGCTGCTGGGGCTTCTTCTCCATGGCAACTAACCCACAGTGTGACAACAACAGCTTCAATATTTTGATGTTTAGAAGACTTCTTTTAAAAACATGGCTGTAGCTCATCATGGCTCTACGTTCCTAGCTGAGATGATGGCTAGAGGTGGGAGGCAGGTGTTCAGGATGATGAGGGTCAGCTCTGTCTCTGGGGACCCTGTCCAGCTAGCTGCTTTCCCTGCATGCGGCGGTGGATCCTTCCTGCCCCCTCCCTGCTGGTTTCTGGCTTTGTCTTCTCTTCCCTGATCTCACTGGGATGAAATTGGCCTCATCCCTCCTTCCCTTCTCCTTGGTGGCTCTAATTTCTATTCCCTCCCTTTGTCTGATCCCCTTTGTCTTTTCTTCTCTCCACTCCCCCGGAACTCCAGACTCTTTCCCTGGGATGTGGCCTCAAACCTGGATCATTTTAGAGCCAAGAGGCCCCTCAAGATCTTTAAATCCAACAAACCTGGCTGCTTTTACACACTGGGAATTGAAGCCAGGGACCCTTGTTCAGGTCACTTTGTGTGTGATGGGCAAGGTCCGCATTCCCACTTCCCTTCCTTTGCTCAGGTACTTACTGCGCATCTGCCCGTCAAGTTCCATCCACTAGTCTCAGGGACAGGAAGAGAGATCGCAGCTCCTTAAAAAGTTCATCATCCTTAACTACCACTGCTTCCACTCCTGGGCAGTTACTTAAGAAGAAGAAGTGCACGTCCTCCTATACACTGGGCCATGAATGTTCTAGCAGTTTTTTAAACTTATAGCCCCAAACTTAATTTACATCAATGAATGAGTGAATAAACAAATTGTGGCATGAGAAGGAACAGACTGATGCTATTTGTGGTAATCTGGATGCATCTCAAAATTTTTATGCTAAGTGAAAAGAGACTGAAACTCAGCTGACACCATATGATTCCACTGATATGAAACTTCAGAAATGCCAACGGACCTGTATTGAAAGGTGCACACTGGTAGTGTCCTAGGGCAGGAAGCATGAGGAGGAGGGAGAAACAAGGCGGGAGAAAACTCGGTGGTGGTTGGTCTGCGTGCACAGTCTTGAATGGGGTGATGATTTCACAGCTCTTTTTTTTTTTTTTTTTTTTTTTTTTTTGGCAGAACTGGGGATTGAACTCAGGACTTTGTGCTTGCCAGACAAGCACTTGTTCTGCTGAGCCACCTTCCTGGCCCTAGCACAGGTCACTTTATGATCTGCTTCCATAGCATAATGTGTCTTCCTTTGCAAAAGGTCAGATGCA